AAAAAAGCCCCAGAACCCCCCAAAGCTTTCTTACTCATAATGAAGATTTTTGACTTCGGTTTCATAACTTTACTTAATCCACGTAATTTCTAGTAGTTATAATTCARATATTACACCCTTTACATTGTGATTTCAGCCCTGCATATTTCTGAGCATAAGCTGCCATTTGGAAGCCAAATTCAGCTGCAGTTTCAGAAGAAGTTTCAGATTACTTTACTGGGTGAATTTTGCATTTTGAGTCTTCCTGAATATATCACTTAAAAAGGATTACAACATAGTTTATGAGAAGTCATACTTTCTCAGTGTGACAAAAGAAAAGAAAAAAAAGAATAAAAATCAAGGTTTACATTTTTCCTGGAAAAAATTTGCACTAGTAATACACAAGTCTTCCCCTCAGCAGTTTCCTAATAAGAACCTGTTGCTTCCTGGTGACTTTGTGAACTATTACATAACATCTATTTATGCTACTACTAGCTTGCAGGATCAGATTCTGCAGGACGGTCTATACTTAAAAAACCTCAGTGGATTATAAAACAAGATTCTATCTCCTTAAGACATGTATCAGATTGCTCCAAAATGAGAGAGTAATAAATTCAGATTCCATCCTTAAGGGCATTTTGACCTTTATTGACGTCTGTATATTTAACTGGAAGGAAAATACATGGAGAGATAAAGTACAAGTCCATGGCAGAAGGAGAAAGGCAGAAAAGCTTCAGTGAAACATGGAAAACATACTTYTAAAATAGGAAACAGAAAATTCTCTTTCCCTGATACTATCAAGATTACAGAAAAACAGCCAATAAGATGCAGAATGAAAACATTTGCCAGAACACAGATCTTTAATTCGGAATTAAATACAACAGATACTCTATCTGTTCAAAGTTCAAAGTGTCTAAAAATACCACAGACAAAAAKGGAAAGCAAGCTAGCACTCAGAAAAACACATTTTCGACCTCCATTTCAACTGTATGAGAAGAGATCTCCAAAATATGGTAAGAAGAAGAAAGTACCATAATAATACACACAGGGTCATCAATCTTATTATTTTACTTTACTCTTCCAAGATACATGTCTCTGCTGCTGCCACAGGACTGAAACACTGTGGTYGAAACACAGTGGAGAAAACGAAATGTTTTTAAATCTCAAGATTTGCCAAGTRAGATTAGGTAAGGTTTCTTGAAGGCAACCTTCCAGTTTACGTAAAATCGGGCTCTGAGCCAGCCTTTGCGTGCCCACCAGAGGGCAGAGCCACGCAGCAGAAGGTTAAAGCTTTCCAACACAGCACAGACGATATTAACAAAGAAGCTCTTTYATTTCCTGAAAAGGTAATTTAATACTTAGTGCTCTCTTTGTAAATGCTCTAGTTAGAACAAGATTTACAATCAGCATATGRAGTCCAATGCTATCTTATCACCTGGAAATGATTTCAGATAGCTAGAAAGACAAGACATCACCAGCCTAACAACTTTCTTATTTTAAAGTGAAATTACGTTTTTTTTAAGCTGTAAAGACAAAGACCTCATATTTTGGAATTGTTAAATAAAAAGGTATTACTTTTAACAACAGGGTTTAGACATTGCACAGTGACTAGAACAACAGACATATTAAAACATATAAAGCAATTTATTAAACCACAGATGGAAGTTATTAGTTTTTAGGTTACAATATAAAAAAAACCCCACTTCCAAAGATAATAGAAAGTTATGCAAATWCTCATGCAAACTCAAATTACACAATGCACATGAGAAACAAACCACTTCCAGAATCAAAAATACTGCGTGGTAGCATCTCTTATTCTTTCTTTCCTGACACTTTAATAAAACTACTGTCCATATTATAATATTACCTTTCACAGCAGATTTCTTCTTCCACTTTTTAAACTGAGCACAGTACACCAAAGCTTTAAAGGCTGTCCCTCTTTGGGTTTGCCCCAAAATGCTTTTCCTGYTAGCTCTACTATTTCTAACCAGAGGAGTCATCCATTACAGTTAGTAATTGCTATGTAATCAGAAGCACGAGTGCATATTTTTCAGCATTCCCATTCAAATCTGCATGCTAAAATTTGTTACTGAAGAAAAAAATAATGCTTTGACATTCTTCTCTGCCAAAGACATGTGGGATATGAAATGAGGCAATCAAGCAGTAACTAGAAGAATTTAAGCCCTTTTAAGGCAGCTACAGAAGGAAAGTGTCTGATGAAGGAACAAACCCATTACAAAAATCTATTTTAAGAGCTCAGAAAGTGAACTATACCCCTYGGGGGGATAGATGACTCACTCAGAAGGTAACAGCAGAGATTTACCTTGGAAAAATTATGGCTCCTTTCCCACTGTTCTAAAGCCAGCATTTTTTCTTAGTAGCTTCTTTSTTCTTTCCTAATCATAATAAAATATAGTGAGGGTAATTCACCAAAAGCTCAAACAAGTGCTACACTCAATGACCAGAATATTTCTAAAAGAAAATTATCATTACTGAAAAGCAGAACATGAAATCCCCAGTTGTAGCAAACCTTCCCTTCYCCTCACTGACCTGTTATTTAGGAATTCAGTTGTAAAAATAAACTTGGTGCTTGCTTTGGAGGTGGGTGAAATTAACTCATTAAGAGCCAGTAGAAGATGTTTGTTTTAGTCAGTTTGATTTAYGTCAAGGCTAAAAGACTTCATTAAAAATGCAGAAAGAATTGTTGGTGATTTGATTAAAACCTGAATATTCTTTTTGTACTGGRTATTGACCTGTAAGAAAGCAAGGCATACAGGGATTACAAACATCCCAACTCTCATGCTTCTAAAATAAAAAAGTTAGTGAAAGTTGGTTGAAAAGAGTAATTATATTTTTTTACTGATGATTATTCCATGTTTGGAGATGATCTTGTGTGGAACAGGGTTTTTTTTTTTTTTTTTGTTGTTGAAGATAAGCATTAAGTATTACAGTATCATCAGTTCACCTTCCGCAAATACATGGCTTGACAAACCTGGTGTTTGTGCAGTGGTGATAATTGCCTGCATGCAGATATACTGTGMCTTGACTCCKCTATAAACAACCATATTTTTATCTTCCAGAGGTCAGATATAAGAATTGTATATTTGAATATTTGAGGGCTCTAAGGACCTTACGGATCCCCCCAAAAACCTCTTTGCCCACCTCTTTTAAGTACTTTTTCAGAAACACTGTTTAAGACTTGCAGCTGCTCATGCTGAATTTGGGGACTTATCCCCTCTTGTAACATGTTTGCTTTTCTGATCCGTATTAACTAACAGAGATCTTTGCAATTTTAAAAAAGCCAAAGTCTTTTTATTTTAAACACTTTATTAATAGGTGTTCGTTACTGAAAATAGGGAGGCTGATCAGACAATACCTCATTCTGCCTGCACCAACTGTATCTGGAAGCTAAGATTGGGATAACAGTCCAATTCCTATTTCTTATAGTTTGCTTGCACTTTTTACAAAAAGCTTGCACCCACGTGGTAGCAAAAGCATAAATCTAGAGTTACTAAGAATGAGGACTAAACAGAACTGGTACTGGGTGTCTAAAGGATTGTCACTGCTCGTAGTGCGACTACAAGATCCATTGCTRCAAACAGTGACCAGCAAATAATAACAAGCTGTGTTAGTTTTGTGTGAATTATGACTGTATTTCAATGCCAGTAACTCTCGACACAAACTGAAAAGCTCAAACTGTTAACACAGAAGACACAACATGAAGCCACTTTGCGCTCTGACAGCATGCCTGGCCTGTTGCAGTCTGCAAAGGTTGCTCAAAGTCTCCTCTCACAAAACTGAGGGCAGAGAGACCTTTCCTCACCTCCCTTCCATTCTGGCATGTCTCAGAAACAGAACTCGTTTAGACGAACTAAGCGCTGTCAAGTTCTCCTCAGGAGGATGCTTGGGATGCATCACGGTTTGAACAAGCTATAGAAGAAAGCAACGTTTTCAATATGTTTCCAAGTTCTTTATTTGYTTGGACAGTTTTTTAAAAAGGTCGGTGTTTAAAAGAGGTGCTGAGACTGCTTTAGCGTTCCATCCCCGGTGCTTCAGCCCYGAGGTGCCTGCCAGGACGGATGCTCTGATGCTCTCTGGTCCCCAGATGCACAGCYCTGCGGTAAGAGAAGGAAACCGAGTCACCGGTGGTGAAAGGGGGTTCTGGTGGCAGAAAGGAAACCCTCAGGAAGGGCTGTCGAGAGGCGCCCCAGGTGTGGCGGGGCCGTGGTTTCGCTATGCAAAGGCCACCGCAGCCACTGCCCGCCTCACGCCTGGGTGGCATCGAGGAAACATAGGAAAGAAACACTACTACTTATGAACTACTGTGGGGTTGKTTTTTTTGGGTTATATTTTTGGGGKTTTTTTCGGCCTGTTGAGACCGAAGGGAGACTTCAGAGAACCTCAACATCAACTTGGAAAAGACCTCTGAGACCACYGAGTCCAACCTATGACCCAACATCATCACGTCAACCAGACCATGGCACCATGTGCCATGCCCAGTCTTAAACATTTCCAGGGACATTGACTCTGGGCTGCCCAGTCCTTTCCATTGTCTAATCATTTCTGGGAAAAAAATATTCCTAATGTCTGTCRCACTCTACACCTTCCTCCTGAGGTGAAGCAGAGAGGCAGGCACGGATCACTTCACTGTCGTGGCTAGGGACAGGATTCAATGGGTCGTCAGGGGAGGTTTTACGTTGGATATCAGGAAAAGGTTTTTCATGCGGAATGTGGTTGKGCACTGGGACAGGTTTCCCAGGGAGGYGRTYACAGCACCAAGAAGTGTTCGGACACTCTCAGGCACATGCTGTGACTCTGGGGGTGTCCGGTGGAGGGCCAGGAGCGCGATTCGATGTTTCCTGTGGATCTCTGCCAGCTTGTGATTTTCTGCGATCCTGTAAGAGYTCATTTCCAGTGTAAGATCCCCTCCTCCCCACCCTCCCACGGGAGGCGGGAACGAGCGACGTAAGGGACAAAGGRCCGCGTCCCCTTTAAAGCTGCCCCCCGCCCTCCACGTGAGCGGCCCGGGGCGGGCGTTCCGAGCCGCGTCAGTTCCGCCTGTGTCGCGGTGCAGAGGAGCCACGCGCGGAGCAGGACGTGAGTGCCGGGTCCCCCCACGGTCCCCCGCCACGSCGCCATCTTCTCTCGCGCGCCCCTTTCCACATCCCTCACCACCGCCGCGGCACCTCCCGGCCCCATCAGGCCAACCGCAGCAGGGCGGCGCTGAGGCGAGGCTTCCCCTTGTTCCTCGAGTGCCCGCCGTGCCCGGCGTGAAGGATACCCCGCTGTGGAGCGGGAGGAGCCAGCCGCCRCTGCCGAGGGGGAGCTGCCATGTTGGGGGGTACAGGGGCTGAGGGAGAAGATGGCGCCCGGCCGCGATCACCCCCGCGCCGGGAGCGGATCCGGCCCGCCGGCGACCCCCGGCCGTTTGGTTTCCGTGCTGCCCTTTCCTCCGCCCCGCCACGGGTGATCCGCAGCCCCATTGCTGCCACCCTGCCCTAGGARGACTTGGGCGTTCTCGCCCGCCCACCTTCTCGCCCTCATCCTTGTTCAGGTCTCGGCTCCTTTCCTTGGGGGGCGACACGAGCCGTGGGAAAGAGGAATGGGGGAGGAAAATGGCGGCTGGGATCCGCCTACCTGGAGTTCCCGGCTCGTCTTGCTTTCCTTACCTTTCCCCGGTTTCCCTTGGCCCGGCTGTTCCCGTGCCCCTGGCCGGCGCTTGCGGTATCTCCTCACGCTCAGCCTCTCCCGGGGGGCACCCACCACTCCACATCCCTTTTTCCCCTTTTTCCGCCCACACCTTCCTCCATGTTGTTCCTTCCCATGTGGACCCCACGGTCATCCCCGCGAAACACCATTTGGTTCGCCGAGTCAGTGTCATCCGTTTGCTTATTTTAACATTGTCCCATTCCAGCGCTCCTCTGTCTCCATCCTAGAGCGTGGCTTGTGTGTGCTTGCTCTCACCCTGTATCCTGTATCCTGTGCGGTGCTGCCGTCCTTGTGCTCCAAGCTATTACCACAGGTCTTGCCCTACTTTAGAACCGCGTTGATCCATTAGCATTATTTGGACACCGGTTTGGTGTTTTGATTTTTTTTTATTTTTAATTTGCATACGTGGGGGGAGGGTTTCACTGCCCGTTTAAGAATGCTGTTACTCCTTTTTTTCTTTCCTGAGGTACTGTGTTACATTATCTTGGCCTTTCCTAGCTGAAGTTTTTCTATTCCACGCTTTCTGGGATGGTTAATTTTATTCTGAAAGTACAAATGAGCTGTGTATTTGCTACAAAGAGTTTCTAGCAGCAGGGAAGATGTGCAACCGCTATATCTAACCGCATGTTTGCATACCAGGATTCCRTGCGAGGACACCTGGCAGTACGCATTCAAGGAATGCTGAATGTCTGCTTGTCTGGTGAATTAACGGGCTCCAGTGAGTGATGTGTTGGAGCTGCAGTGGAATTATTAATTGCAGTGCTGTAACTCACTGTAACTGAGATGTATTTCAGACTGTTAGATTATTGGTGGGAGCTCAYGCATCACGTGTGTGACAATTGTGCAGCGTGTTGCTTGCAAATCCAACTGGGTGAAATGCTTGTGTCAGTTATTGCTAGGRCATTAATGATTTATATTAGTGGAAGTAATAGGGTTCAGCTGGAGAATTATATTGTGTTTTTTACATTATGGGTTTTGCCATGTCTGGCGATATAAAAATTGTGAAAAATCATKCTGCTGTAGACAGAAGGTAGACTGCTGCATTTAATATGCTCTAAATGTGTTTTAATGTGGTTGCAGCAAAAAGAGGAAGAGATATAAGAGGGAAGAGTGCTTCTTCTCTTCCCTCTTGCATCTGCAGCATATATTAAGGCTCAAATGAAAAGGCAGAAAAATCTTTAGGAGGGCTTAAAGAAGTTGAGCCAGTACAAACAGGTTTGAAGGTTGCTTTCCTGCCAAAATGGAATGTCATTCCTTATATAGTTCTCATGTTATTTTTCTTTTCCCAGAATGCCTAAATCAAAGGAACTTGTATCTTCAAGCTCATCTGCAAGTGATTCAGATAGTGAAGTTGACAAAAAGGTGAACATTATGTACAGTTCATTACTGTATTAACTCTTTTGTTTCAGGCTGGGGTTAAGGAATTAGGTGAGCATTATGTCACAATGTGCATGTCATTTCATATGATTTATCAGACACTTTCTGTTCTACCCACCCACCTCAACAACTCCAACAACAAAATCCAAACAACCCACCTTTCAAGTTTGGGTGGATTGCATAATTTTTGCCTTGAAGAAAAGTTTTTTTCTTCAGTTGCATTGTGTTTTCTTCATTGCATTCCATATGCTAATTGCAWGTTCCCTGTAATTTTTTGCTGCTTTGTGGCAAGCTTCTGAAGGCTTCTGTGTAAGCTGCCATAGTGGCAAGAGTTTGCGCTTGTTTTGAGAACGTGTCCTTGCCCTGGCTTGCTATTTAGTATCTGGATTACTTCACTATAAGAAAAACCTACACTTGCCCTGTACTCTTGCTTATCTTGTTTGCATGTTTTTTTTAATCTGCTTAATTTTCTCATGTCTGCTGTAATACCACCTGCTAGTTTCTCTCTTTACAACTGAGCCGATCTGAATGTCTTTGAGTTGATAAGTTTTTATGCATCTATTTTAAATGTGCAAATCAAATGTTAATGCTAATTTAAGTTAGAAGTTTTTATAGATCCACATTTGTGTACAAAACCAGAAAAAACACTAGTGAATTTATCTTTCTGAGATGGAAACACAGACACCAGGTCTTTTATTGGGGTACAGTACTTGAAGAGGTTTGGTATCCTATTTCTACATGAGTGGAAATAGTAGCTTTGTATCTTCTCTGGGTAGTCTGATTTACAGGTGRTATTGTCTGAATGCTTTAAAAATTTGCATAATTTTTCATGCTGTGGGCAGCAATTAGATACCTGTTAAAAAATTGTCTGATAGAGGTGGTTTCCAGATCTTTTATTTGTTACCTTGTCTATGTTTTTTCCTTTCATGGAGGTGTTGCAAGCTGTTTTGCACTTYTTGTTCCATTTAGTAAAAATTAAGGTGCCATTTACATCATAATTAAAATTTTTATTTAAACTACTGAACTTCTCTCTATTGTGCAGAAAGAGAAGAAGTTTTGAAGTTTATTTTGTTCTGACTAAATTCTTTTTAAAACCAAATTATGGTAARTTTCACAGAGAACTCACTTCGAAAGTTTTTAATTTTACATTTAATTCCAATCTAAATGTCCAGTATTGGATTCCTGCCTTCACAGCAGGAAGGTGATAACATGCATTGCTTGGTAGTATCTGATGTAAAATGTAAACTTASTTGTAGCATACAGAGTGATTGTGGCTCATGCTTTTTTCTTTTTCAATTTTGCTCCAAGGCAAAGCGGAAAAAGCAAGTAACTCCGGAAAAAAATGTAAAGAAACAAAAGACTGGTGAAAGTTCAAAAGGTGCAGCTTCTTCTAAGCAGAGCAGTAACAGAGATGAGAATATGTTTCAGGTAAAATTGATGACTCATAGAGCCTGGTTAAGGTAACATGTTACATCTTATGCTGTATAAATTTTACRAGGTGATCTGAATTTCTTGACAGCATGGTGCTTGGCCTCCTGAATCCTTGCCCGAAGGGGATTACGATGCTGGCATGTAGATGAGATGCTCAGAAAAGCGTGATTGGGTTTCARCAGAATAAAAGAATCTGAGTTGTAGCAATTGATCTAATTCTCATGAATTTGCTCCTGGTAGCTCTGGGTAGTCATTTCGTCAGTAAACACAACGCTTACCATGAGTAGGCTTTACATATCAGGTTTATCTCTACATGGAAATGTTTTTTAATCAGGCCTCTTGAAAAAAAAAACGGTTCTTGGAAGCCCAAGTGTGGAGTCTTCATTCCTATTTAACTAGGTCAAGGGCAGCTTGGCTCCTGTATTATAAGACAGCATCTTGGAATAAGTTTTGTTTGTTCCTTTGTGTTATGAGGTAGGGTTTTATCATTGAACATCCATAAAGATAGTAAGTTTTGGCATTGCCCTGTTTTTAAGATGCGGTGAATGTCTGTTTTTCAATAGAAAGATGCATTTGTGAATTCAGGGTATTACAGTTCCCCGGGTTAGCTGAGGCAGTAGCAGTGTGTGCTGAGAACTGATGTACAGCTCAGAATTAACTGGTTTAAGGGTGTGGATCAAGATCTATTTAAGGTCTCTGACTAGCTGGCTGGAAAGGAACTTAAATTCTTGATACTTTGGTTCTCAAGTTTATGAAAGGGTATGGGAAAAGTGCCTAATGAGATGACCCACGCACAGAGTAATGTAAATGAAATGGTTCTGGGCTATAGCTCTGCAAAGTAGTACAGGAAAAGGTCTTATTCTAGTGAGAAGACCTCCTTAACTGATACTGTGATACAGGGCAGTTATTTTTAATGTCTCAATTATTTCCTCCTACATTTAGGAGGGTGAGCTTCACTTGAAGGCCATGTCTGAACTTCTCTATTGAAGGAAGTGCATAATATTTTTAGGTCTGCTTAGGCATRCTTTGAACCCTTTAGGAAAAATGAGATGGTGAATTCTACAACTTATGAAGTGAACTGCAGTTAGAACTCCAAAGAGCTGTATGTAAACTTAATGCTATGCTTGTAGTAAGTTCAGAAATTCCAGCCTCGGAGAAAACTTTAAATTTTTTGTGTTCCCCTGATGCAAAAACATGCAGACCCTTTCAAATAAAAATGAAAGTATGCATGCTCTGGTTTCTTGAAACCTTTGTGACCTAAGATAATAAAAAGTTACTAAAAACAGACAGTAGAGGACTCACATTAGTCTCATAAGRACAGGGTTCTTGTGTTGTGTAGTATACAGATCTTTGAATATCACCTTAATCTATGTTACCCAGTCTGTGCCTGCCTTTTAGGCAATTAACAATAAAATATTTTTTAGATTGCTCATTGTCAATGTGAAGCATTTTCGGTTTTTGTACTCTACATCAAATTCTGTGCAGTAACTAGGGTGTAAATGTTTTAGTATAGAAATAAAACCACAGTATGTCTGAGGATACTGCTYCTTCTTCCCCCTACCCAGGAGGGCATGCTTATTAATTTTTTAGATAGAGTTTTGTTTGTTCTAGGGCTGTTTGTGATACCAGAAGCTGTTGCTGTAGAGTTTCTCTCCCATGGCAGTAAAATGATCTCTGATGTGAAAGTGACTTTGCAGTATAACTTTACAAGAGTGGCTTCAGCTGATGGAAGTCAAGCTGTAAAGCATTAATAGGATAGTCACAAGTTCTATGGTGTCCATATTGTGTGTGGGAGTGGCTACAAGTGATGTGAGACTATGAGTCTTGTTCTACATCCTCAGGCAGGGCTCTTGAGGCATGCAGATTCTCTTAATATAGAGCTTATTGTTACTGCTGTATTCAGAACATWCAGCGTTTTCATAAATACATAGATTTAAAATTCTTATTTGAGATTGTTGGTATAATGGTTCTTTTGCAACTACTTACGAAGAATAATATACAATTAGATTTGCAACTAATGCAAATAGAAGACAATTTGTTCAGTGTAAGAGACAGGGTGTGTTTTATATGTTYACATGTCATGGCCTTCTTAGGTTTTGTAGGGAACCTAGTATACTCCACAACTTGATAAAGGATTTGTGTGCTGTTAGGATGCAGCAATTTATATTACTCCTATGTGTGATGTATTACTGGAAGCCCCAAGGACAAGCATTATTTGTGTCAATGTGGAAGGGTTTAGCCTTGATGCATTAGATTCCTGTCTGTGGCTTCAAGCCAGCCTTAGCTCTGCACCATGTGCTTTGGTAGTTTGACTAATCCTATCATCCACCTGTGCCTGATTTGGATAAGGTATGTCAGGATGCATTTATGGCTACCCAGAGCAGAACCATATTTTGTGATCATGCATTTAACTGAAATTGTTACTTCAGAAGTTGTCTCTCTTGTCCTGTCCATCTCCCAACTCCCCCTCCCTTTTTTTTGAGTTTTGACTGTATTTGGTTTTTGACTTGTGAGAAATAGGTTCTTTCATTTTTCCAGTGTAATTTCCAGTGTTTATGATGCTCTGAAACTGTGATTAGTTTAGCATACTAATTATGAAACTTAAGTAGTCACTGATGCATTTCACAATTTGCTTTGTTGCAGATCTCACTGTTCACTGGGGTCTTGTACTTCTTGTAATGTGTTACATATGGCTGTTGSCTAGGGAAGAGAGAAGGGGTTTTGTTGTTTATGTTTGCACTGTGGGTGTACATTTTAATCCACAAAAACTGGAAATAAGAAAAATGATGAGGAAGGTGCTTGCTGTAACTCATGCAGGAAGTGAGTTGCATATCTCTGAAATTAACAGAGATAGAGTTCACTGCTTTTTATTCTAAGAAACAGAAACCTGGAAATCATGGTTTTAATAGTTTCTGATTTGTGCAAGTCAGTGGAGTAGTATAATCTAAGGATCTATAGTATATAATAAAAAATCTATGAACTTCTCTGTGAAGGTTGAACTGCACTARGTACTCTGCTAGAAATCATGCTGACTGTCGTGGTTTAGCCCCAGCCAGCAGACAAGCCCCGGACAGCCACTCACTCAATSCCCCTGCCCCCAGTGGGAGAGAATTGAAATGGTAAAAGCTGGAAAACTGTTGAGATAAAGACAGTTTAACAGGAAAAGCCAAAGCCACACACACAGGCAAAGCACAACAAGGAGTTAATTCACCACTTCCCGTGGGCAGGCAGGCGTTCAGGCACCTCCAGGGGAGCAGGGCCTATCACATCTAACTGTTAACTGGGAAGACAAATGTCATCATGCCAAACTTCCCCTCTTAACTTTCTATCCTGAGCACGATGCCATATGGTCTGGAAAATCCCTTTGGTCACTTGGGGTTACCTGTCCTGGCCATGTCTTCTCCCAGTCTCCCAAGCACCCCCAGCTTCCCTGCCATTGTGGCAGTSAAAGAAACAGAAAAGGCCTTGGCGCTGTGTAAGCACAAGGAAACATCCTTGTGTTATCATCACTGTAGTAAGCACAAATCCAAAACACAGCTTCCTRTCAGCCATTGTGAATAAAATTAATTCTTCCTAGTACATCTACGCTTGGAATGCTGCTCTGGTTATAGAGAATACAAAAATACCTTCAATACTTGCTCTTAGGATTATCAGCATGGAAAAACAGTTGTTCTGAAATGAACCTGTACCAGAGTTGCAGGTAGCTAAGTATCAAGAAACATCAGTTAACTAGTTAAATCAAGGTTTTGTGTTTTTAACCTTGGATGTTTGTTCAAACTGTACTTAAGAAGCCTATTAAAAAATTTCAGTAGTGGCAGCTTTTGCATGGAATTCAACTAAAAAGCTGAAATTATATGGAAACATTCAGCTGAAATATAGACATGATATGAAATCTAACTTAATTTCAGCGATTTCATAATGAAATACCTCTAAGGTAGACTTACTGATTGAGTAAGTGTAAACTTTCCATTATTGCCCTTCACCTCACTGTGGTTGAATTAAGACATGGAGTCTTATCCTTGAAAATCACATTCTAAACCCTTTTACTGTATTTGCAGTTGTAATTTGCTATATTGAATTAGATTTTGTTTCTTATGACAAAACTGGAATTATTTCACAAGGCACTAATATTCTTCAATAGCCATGGAAAAAAAATGCTGCAAAGTGCTACTGGTTGAAGCTGTTCCTGGAGGTGACCTTAAAAGTTACTAGAGCGCTAAAGGGTAAAACCAAGAAATGTTGTTYATGCAGGTTATTTAAAATATTCTTTGCCAGGAGTGCATTATGGCACTGGAATAATTCTGCAATATTCTTTGCCAAGGACTTGGGCATGGTACCAGGTTTGGTGTGAAAGAGCTAAGCTACCATAACATTATACTTTTGAATTACATTTTTGAATTTTAAATTTGTATTTAATTTTATCAATTAAAATATGGTCTTACAAATGGTAATGTCTTACTGACTCATGTTATCTGAATATGTCCTGATTGTTTTAAAATCAATTTTACATGTCCTACAGCATAATCTACATARGAAGAAAAATTTACTTGAGCAGACATGAAGTATTCTTACTTATATCTRTTTTGTGAAATAAGAGCATATAACGTAAACGTCCGTGAGTTAATGTAGTTGATTGGAGAGTTCTTCAGTCTTTCTGGTCAGACTTCATACTAGTATTTTTGTATCAAAATGCAACATGCAGAATTAAAGGAAGTGGAAACTGAAAGGTAGTGTTTTACCAGGAACAAGTATTTTATTTTAAAATTGTTTTGTTTAGGATCTGTTCCTTCTTCGTAAAATATGTCCAGAAGGTGCACACAGAATTCTAAGAATTTMATAGAATTTAATTGTATTTGATTATGTTTTAATTGTGTAACTTATGGGTCTCAAATTTACTTTGTACTTGGAATTTATGTGAATAGGTAGTTTTWAATCATATTTGGAAAGTTCATTAATGAGCCCAGATAGTGCATTGCATAGTTGGTGGTGTGATTCTTCCTCCGCATCCCTGCGCTCCACCCCAAAAAAAGAGATGCCCATGTAARTCAGTTACAACACTGGTGCAAAAATGATGGGATTTCAAAATCTAAATTCCAAAATTTCATACTGTGCTACATGCTAGTAAACCTAAAAGATTTGACTTTTTTTGGAACATGTGGTGCAATGGRGTACCCATGAGAACTTGGGAGTGGGCATGGGACAGTTGGTGGCAAACTTTCATTTCCATCTGTATTTACTATGTTAAAAAAAAAAGGAAGGTATCACACATAAATATCTAATTTGCTTTCTCTGCATGTGCAATGGAAGAAAATTAGATCTGGGAGTAGAGCTCCCTGTTCCCTTCTTTGTTTGGAACAGTTGCAAAAAAATGAAAAATTTCATTTTAGAAAACAKTAAATTAATGACATTTGTAAGAAGCAAACATGTAAAGAATACAGGTATTTTTGTTCTAGRAGATCTACTTTTGCATTGAGCATTGCATGCTCAACCAGTTTTAAGTCGTTACTTATTAGCCTACTGACTACTCTGAATTAAGCTTTTAATCTAGTTGTTTCTGTGGTGTCTAAAATAAGCTGCAGTGTGCAGTGTCGCATGTCAGAGTCTAATACTGCTGGGGAAAGTGAATGCTCTAATATGTAAAATACCTGAAAGACTCTTATATGTGTTTTGACAGATTGGCAAAATGAGGTATGTCAGTGTTCGGGACTTTAAAGGGAAAGTCTTAATTGACATTAGAGAATATTGGATGGATCAAGAAGGTGAAATGAAGCCTGGCAGAAAAGGTATTGTTTTGGTTGATGTTACTTTTTATTAAATCATGGTCTGCACTTTCCAATAGAATTTCCTATATTATATTTTTCTCCTTTGTTACTACATGATATTTTGGGWATACTATTTTTACTTTCTTACGATTTATATTTTTACAGAGGATTAATTTTATCTATAGATGGTGAGTAGAATCATAAGTGGGTCTGTTGGCCTGAGTCTGTTTTCCTAAACATATCCTCCATGATTTATGGAAAGCAATGTGTCAAATACAAGTAAATTTGGTAGGGCAATTATAAACATTTTATCATAGCCATACTTTTTCCCCTCCCCAATTAATTAACCTAATGAGCACAATTTCCTCTGTTATGGTTGGATTTCTTATTTAAAAATTAACTGAAAACATTTAATAATTTTTATAGTATGTTAATTTTGTTAAACCAAACGTGCACTTCAGTATCTGTTAACTTTTAGATTAAAACAACCTAAAAATTTAATGACCRATTTTGAGAAATGTTAAAAATACTTTAGTAGAGAGGGAAATATCTYAAGTGTACCGAGTTTGTAATCTTCAGTGCATCACAAGCCATTGTACCTCTAGTTGCCACTTGCAGTTTCTTTTCATGCAAACGTTCACTGTGAGCCACTTTCAGAACTTTGGCATCTCAATATGTGGATGCAAGGACAGTTGCAGTARTAGTACTGTGCTTAATGTTATGGTACTTCTCTTCAAAAAGCCTACTTTTTATCCATTTTCATATAGCATCAATGAAAGGTAARTGTGAAACATTCTGCCTGTGGATTCACAGAACCATGGAATGGTTTGGGTTGGAAGGGACCTTGAAGATCACCTCATTCAACCTCCTCCCTGCTACAGGCAGGGACACCTTTCACTGGACCAGGTTCTCAGGGCCCCCGTCCAGCCTGGCCTTGAGCACTCCCAGGAGTGGGGCATCCACAGCTTCTCTGGGCCAACTCTGCCAGAGCCTCTCCACCCCCACAATTAAGAGTTTCTTTCTCACACCCAATCTGAACGTACCCTCTTCCAGTTTGAAGCCATTCACCCTTGCCGTATCACTGCATGCCATTGCAAAATGTCCTTTTCCAACCTTATGTGCTGGGAGGCTGCTAAGTTTGAAGTTTGAAGAAATTTAATTTACAATCACCATGTGGTTTGCTACATTCTTTTGGTGTGTTCAGGAGCAACTTAGTAAATAGTCATTTGGAAAGTTTGAGAGGCATTTTCAGCATTTCTTAAATAACCATTGAGAATAGATTCGCATGAACAGATATGCTGGTGCTCTACAGAAAAATTGCTTGTTCTGGATTTATTGTTGCTAGTTAACAAAAAAGGTTGCTTTAACTTTTGAGGACTTTGCATTCTGTGTTTCAAGGTGGAATTCAGTAGTATATGCACTTTGAATGGCAAGCTGCAGTGAGATTTGATGGGTGGGCTAAATGACAAAAATGACATGATATAGATAGAAATATTTATCAGTACAATGCAAGGGCCTGAATTTTATTATGCTAAAATTAATAACAATCTGATACAGTATGTGAATCTAATAGTTCCTTGATGCACTCATAAGCTGCTTATCTAGCGATCCTAAAACCAATATAAGCAGTTGAAATTTTGTAATGAAACAAAAATGAATCCAACATTTTAAACTGTCAGTGTCTGAAAGCAGCAGGTCTGAATTTTGTGTGATTCATCTGATCTGTGGTTGAGGAAGATCTTCATCACATTTAATCCCCTAATGGATAGCGTACCTAACCTGTTTTCATAAGAAACCTGCCTACTAAAAACTAGTGGAAGACTACTTAGAGCACCTCCATGCACATTACTTGCTGCTTAAAGTTGTGGTGGTGGTCTGACAATATAGTAATGGTAAAAAAAAGGAAAAGGCTGTGAGCTCCAAAAATGGAATTCAAAGTTTCAGCTGTTTTCAGATCCTGCTCCACCTTCAGGGAGAAAGCAGTGAAGGAAAACTATTACTGAGAGGTGAGAGTGGAAGAGCTTGGTGGGGAAAGTATGAGTAGTAGCCTTGGTAGCCAGCATTTCTCACAGAGTGGGTGTAGAAGTTGTAGTGGAAGAATGAATAGACCAAAGCACAAGTGAAACATGTGCCTATACTCAAGCTTGAGGAAGATAATACCAAATTTAAAACTGAGGAGATGAGTTGTGGTGTGATTGATTGAATGGTTATTGGTCAAATGTCATTAGAAACAATAGTGACCTTGAAGTAAAAAGTAACTGATTTTGGTTTGTGAGCACTATGGAGTTGTGTAGTCTATCCAGAAGATTACTTACAGTATGTGTTATTTACGGTTTGAGAAATAAAAGGGAGAAAAGCCCCCCAGAATTACAGCTTGAAAAGTGCACAGCAGATGCATCCACATATGTATGGCTTTTAGGAGCCAACAGGAATACAAATTATTTTCTGCTTACCACCCAGGGCTTTTGTGCTGCCTTCTGTCAAGGCCAGAGTTGTATTTCACTTCTTGTGTTTAGTCTACTAGTTGTACAATTATTGATTACACACACTTTCTTTGTTAACTTTTCTAGAGATAACCTAAAGTTAAGTTGAAGTGTTGGAAGTGAATAGTTTCTCTTTGTAGCTAAGATGGTTGTTGAAGTTGCTCAAGCATGAATATTGTATCATAGACTTTGTATAGGAAAGCAGCCTTTATAATTGTGCAAGATCCTGCACCACCATTTTATTTTTGTCTTATGTGTTTATTTTTAATGCTTTTCAGGTATTTCTTTAAATCCAGAACAGTGGAACCAGCTGAAGGAACAGATTTCTGATATTGATGATGCAGTAAGAAAACTCTAAAGACAGAGCCATACAAAAACTTCTATCATTTAGTTGTATTGAGCAGTCTTTTTACATTGGCTTTAGTTTTCTAAAATATTGTTTTCCAAGCTATTGTATATTTGGATTGCAAAACAATTTGTAAGATGAATACTTTTTTTATGTGCATTAAAAGTGTATTCTGAGTGAGGCTATTTGTGTATACTTTACTAAAAGGACTTGTGTTGCTTTCACCCCATGGTGTAAAATAAACGGATCAAATAATATGTAAAGCATACTTGTTTATGGCCTTTTGATTGAAGGTGTTTGCTGATAAGGCCACCTAATAGCTTTAGTTGTTGTTTTAATCTTACATTAACTGTAAACTAAACTGAATTTGTTTCTGAGGGGATTTCTTAAAGTGTCTCAATTTCATTTTTCCTTTTCCATTTTCTTTGGTATTGCCCTGCAGCTTTCTGCTTTGAGACTTGATACAAACAGTGAATACTTGGAAAAACACATTTTTGTAGATAATTTTCAATGCTGTATTTGCTAATTTACCCTATTTATTCAGATGTAAACAGTCTTGAATATATAGCTTTTTTTGCATTACTTGCATGAAGGATTATGCTAAACAATAACACTTGAACACAAACCACATGCTCTCTCTTCCCATTTTTCTATAAAGTGCTTGACCTAGAAAATACAAGTAGCCTTTTTTCTTGAACTTTAGATATGAAGCATAAACTTCTACAGTAATAGACATATACCTCAGAGTAAGACAATATTTAAAGGCTCCTGATGTGGTTAACAATAGTTAGTACACTTTCAAGGTTTGCATTAAATTAATTCTGGAACACATACTAACCAATTATTCTATAGAAGAGAAGCAGTTTACCTGTCTGTAGGGTTTTTSTTCATTTGAGAGTGTTGCATAAATAATGATCCTTAAATTGGACTTTTAAACAATGAAACAGGGTTAAGACTACTGGAGCCAGAATGTCTTTTCTGTCATGTTTCTGCCCATCCACACTGCCTGCCCAGACCCCTGAATTCAGGTTGCTTCCTGTGGCTTACATGTGCACAGCTGGTTTATCTTTGTACGGAAGGCGCTTAGCGCACACAGGGAGCTTACCAAGTACACGGCGGACCATGACCCAGCGAGCTTGGCTGGTCAGCCCTGGTACCTCCTGGGCAGAAAAGCCTCTGCCCTGTGGAAACTGTTACACAAGATGCCGCCCCAAAGGAAAGGCTTCTTAGTGACACGGGAGTCCCAAACAATGGAAGAAGAAGGGAGAATGTGATGCAGAACTTGGAGATGTGAGAGGTGTGCCAGGGTGAAAGTTACTGGTGAAAGATCGAAGTTAGCTGGCACATAACAACAGTGAAGAAATGGAAGCAGAATTGGAGGAGTTAATTTTCTGACATAATTAAGCAAGGCAAGAAGATTAAATAACCTTATGAAGAAGGACGTTTCAAGACTAGTGAATGTCCATCTTARTTTGGGTGTAATTTTCCCATTTGATGATAATGTCTCTGAATTATGTAGAGATAAATAGGTTTTACTATTTGCTTAGTTATGGAACATTTTAATTTCATAATTATAATACAATTTAATAATAATAATTTTAATATCGTTATTTTTATTGCAGACAATGTTGTGAGTGCCATACGCAGTCTGTTTCTCTGATTCAAAGTTCATAATTCAATGCAAATAGATAYTAAAGGGTGAGGAAGAGAGACTTCATCAAATTAAATATGTATTATTTAATTGAAATATGTCACACATCTTCACTTGCTTTTAAACTTATCCATTCTTGAGATATTACAAGTAAAATTAAGATCTGTTTTTGTATAGCTCAGGAAATTTAAATTTTTAAGAACTGCTTGAGGATGAATAAAAGGGTGAAGAGAAGTTGTGGTAGCAGATGTGGTTTTGGGCACAACATTCTTGTTTGAGTGATTCTTAACAACATGTAGGGCTATTGGGACCAAATAGAATAAATATGAAATAGCTGCTAAAATTTCACAGATGCGTGTGTGAAATAAATTGCTTTAGATCACTATAGACAGGTTCTAGATTTTATTGCAATATATATATATTTTGTGATTTTATTTCTTTGTCTGAAATTTTTTGACCAGATTTCATCCATTTTACCTCAAAACCTTCAAGTGGCTACTTTAAAGTGCATGGTTATATTAGAGGCAACATTGTCCTCACATAGATTACAATGCTAATAGGTCATTGGAAGRATAGTTGTGTATCAGAGTACAATACAGTTGTGTTCAGGAAGGTGGGAAATGAAAATTCATTTGGGGAGAGTAAGTGAAAAAGTTTAATGATTAGTTCTCATGTGGGAATTGATGGTAGAGGTGTTCAAGGAAATWACCATTTGTTAGCCATGAACTATTAGTTATAAGTAGGTACTGAAAGAGACAAGTCAGTTTCACAAATGAACTCCAAATGGGATCWGTTGATCAGGTGACTGGTAGGTTTGTAAGACAGTAATATGCAAGTAACTTCAATAAAAAAGTGATGCATTCAATATTGTTTTGAAACAAATAGTTGATAGCAATTTGTCATGTAATCTTCTGTAGTTTTTCCAGTTTAAGAAGAAAATTGAAATACTTTTTGAATAAAGATTATTTTCTTGCAGACAGTGTTAGTTAGGATGTGTAGAAGTGTTCATGGAAGGAAATTGTGCATGTGTGACAAGGCTGTGTAGTATGAGATAAAAGCACTGCTCCCTCTCCCATTAGGTGATGAAAGAAAAGTACATTTGATTCTTGGTGTTTATGCAGGGCATATTAGCAATATGTTTTACAAATTAAGCCTACTGTGGAGCTTYGGGGAAAAAACAGAGCTGCCAAAGTACCGTATGTGTGATAATCAAACTGTCATGTATTATGTTGCTCATATGTAGAGATGTTCATATTGAAAATAAACAGATGCAGTACTAATTTTGATATTTCTTTTAAAGAAAATGGCCCTGGTTATGTATGTATGTGATCTGTTAGCAAAAGAAACCAAAACTGATGATTGTAATTCTGGTAACTCAAATGTCTTCTTGTTAGCCATGTGAAATGTTTCATGTTTGCTCTGGTGGTATCTGATGCAGAGAGGCCACTGGAAATATGAGCCCTTCAACTGTAATTACCTTAATGTTAAACAGTTAAATGGCATATGTGTAATAACAATTTGAACACTTGGAAATAAAAAAAAAATACTTCTGTTGACATAGTGTTATTTTTAATAGAATTTTAGCTGCACTGAGGTGTTATGGTACCTGCTGTTTGTTTCTTGCAAGTGTTGTAATTTGGAAATTTGAAAACCATTATCATATATTTTGCCTATGTTTGCGGGTGGGTAATTRGTTGTGTATCCCAGAGGGATAGAAATTTTTCACTAGGCTAAGGAGAACAAGTGTCATATAAATAATGAAGCAGCAGATATAAACACATGCTCTAACAATTAGAAGGGAAGTGCTTGGTAAGTTGTTACTGTTAAGAGAATGGCTGATTTTTTTTTTCCAGTGAATTTTCTTCTTGATTACAAATGTAGCCACAGATAAAGTAGAAAATCTCACACATTTATTATCATTGATCAGTTATATCTACATAGGCATCTTTAGGAAGGACATTTATTTTTCGCATACTTGAAGTGACTGGTCTGTAGGGAGTCAATTAATTAGTGTATTGAAGCCTTGAACCTAACAGACTTTTCTTAAAGCAATTTTGAGTAGTCTAGCCACAGAAACAAATTGCGCAAAGGGGAGAAAAGGCGGTGTGGGGTTGATGGAGGGTGATCATGTCTTCCCTAATCTTCACTCACTGCCTCCCCTTACTGACCAAGTTCATCTTTGTCGCTCTGGTGACTGAATGGAAGAGCATTCCAATAGGCAGTGTTTGTCCTATGGTGTACCAAACCTGCATGTCCCTGCTCCCAGTTATGTGAAAGTGTGGAGACATTTGCTGAGGAACTGAAATAAATGGTCCATGACTTAGCAATGGTATGTCAGGGAAGCTTAAATCTGCTGTCATCTGAGCAGTAATGGGGACCTGTTTGCTTGATATTCCACTTGATTTAACAAAAAAATGTAATAATTTTTGTAAGATCTACCTAATTTGGTTTTTTTTGCTTTTGTTTTGTTTTCAGTGATTCCCTGTACTCATCATTGATCAGGTGTCATATGAGGCAGGGCCTGAGGTTGTGTTGAGGACTCAGGTTTTTAAAAGTTACCTGTTAGAAGGAGGTTGGCACACARCCCTAAAGGTGAATAGAGCTGCTGTAGAACTTCCTGCTGTTCTAGGAAACAGCAATTGTCAAATCTCTAGGTGAGTTTGATAAGGCAATGTAAAAAACATGCCTGCTTGGTCAGCATGCTTAGCAGACTGCTGTTAGTTCTTACCACTTGTGCAGAAATTAATGAGATGAAAACTTGAAAAAGTGATAAGATTTTACATAACCCTGCTACTGCAAAAYGGCACCTTCAGAATGTAAATCCTTTGTGATTTCACTAATAGGCTAATGTGTCAGAATAATTTTTATGCTATTGAAAACAAAGCTCATTTCATCTTAGTTCATCTTAAACGTAAGTTTATCATCTGAAATACCATCACACCATATATCTAAGGGAGAGGCGAAACATGTTGTAGAGGCTCAAGTGGAGGGGCTGAAAGCTGGCTTTGCACCCTACAGGTTCTGACTTTGACCTTCAGCTGTTAATTGTGTACCCTTGAGATGTGCRAAAAACAGAAGCAGGTTTGAAAGACAGGGCTGGAAGCTTACAGCTGTAGACAAATATTGAAACCAAGACAAGAATGGAAATATGCAGCCAGAGATGCTGAAATTTGCAGATGAGCACAATGCAGAAATCCTGTGGATAACCGCAGAAGCAACCACACTGCTTTGCACAGTATAAAAATCAGATTTTATAAAAATAAAGCAGAGAAATTGCTTGTCAAAATTATTGTTTGTCTAAGACTGTTGTGTCTATCTGTCTCTGCCGCAACACTCAAGATTGGCATGATCCTAGCAGTCAGTTACTTGAAAATAAAGTTAGGCAGTGCATATAGCAGTAACACTTTGCAGTGTTTGTGGTGTTAATTTTATTTCACCTTTGTAGGTTTTTGCTGGCTGTTTTTATGTTAAATGGCTTAGCTGTTTCCTTTTGTCCATTCCATGTTTATATTTGCCATCCCTTACTGAGATCTGCAGCTCCTTTTGTGTTTCCTGCACCATTTGTATTCTGGCTTGAAGCACATGTCTGCCTTTTGGAACACAGGTATCTYTGGCTAAACTCATGCTGTCACAAAACAAGGAGTATCTCAAAAATTGGATCCCAATGGTACTTGGCAGATAGAGCTGCTATTTCTAATAAAGCTCAATTAATGTGTGTGTATATGTATTTTAGCGTTGTGATAAAGCATATTTAAAATAGTKGAATTACTCATGCCAACATGCATACTTCCCAAAGGAAGTAATTTTCTTCATGTTGGCCTGGATTATTGTCTAAAGTAAAAGTACTGGACAAATACTTTTCCCCCTGGAGTGGCTGTGAACAACTTAGAGAATACCACAGTTAATGGGRAAAAAAGTGATTAGAGCTGTCATGTGGATGGATATCCTTGACATAAACAAGGGTGATTGTAATTGCAGTGGTTTGGTTAATGGGAAGAAAATTTAATTGTGTGGGTAGCCCGAAAAGTTCCTRAAGTGACCTGTAGTACGTACCATTTATGATGATGTAAATAAAGACTGCCCTTCTGTCTAAAGAAACCTCTGAAAATGCTAATTTGCAATATRCCTGCCTCTATATAACCGTACTTTTATCTTCCTTTTTTTCTCTTCAGCGATGTGTCGGTGCATGTGATRTAGTCCCCTTTCAATAGCAGGAGAACTGGTAACCCTGACTGAGTCATTCCTGTGAAACTGGAGGGAAAAAGTAGCAATCAATTATGCTACTATTTAATAGTAATATGCTTTTCATCTATCCAGACAATTTGTTGTAATGAGAATATTTGTGGCTTATCTCTTAAATTGTTTAGGAACACACATTTTGGGGTTTGGTGAAGTCTTTTGTAAATAAGTTACTTGGGTATTTCCCCCCACTCATGTAAATGTGTCGAAGCTTTGTTGTTTTAATTTTGTGGTGCTGTTTTCAGGAAACTGATTTTTTTTTTCTTTTGATCCTTAAAGAGCTTTGCAAATCCTTATTTTTAACACGCTCTATTTTTGGATTTTGAAAACCAACTTGCAGAGGTCATGCTTGGGTGCATTTCTTACTAKATTACTGGATTGTTATCTGGCTGTGCCTGCTTTGTGGTCTGGATAACTGTTGAAAAGAGAAGTGTCTGTTAAATTGCAAGCTTGTGGTAATGACGTGAGAAAGTGAGGAGAGGGAAATGCACAGATAGAAAAATCAKTTATTTTTCAGAGCCTTTTCTGAGCATGGTACAGAAACAGTATRTTCTCATTTTGAAGGCAAAAACTAACCCCAAAACAGCTAAAAAGCATTCCACTTAAATTTGAAACTGCCTCTGTTCAAACACAAGTTCATCAAATGTGTCTTTTTTATGAAATATTTTTGAAAAAGCTAATGGCAATGTTTTGGGTTCTTTTTATAAAGGAATCTTCATAGATAAACACTACGTTCAGCAATACAAAATTCTTAAAGCTAAGTGAATTTATATGAAGATGTAATTTTTAACTGACTGGTTTTGACACTTTGAAAATTATCTTAACTAAATAAAATTATCTTAACTAAATTTCTGGGAAGCTTTGTGATGACTTTGAAGTCCTCCACAAGTGGTCATGTCTTTGGCTCAGGGAGGAGATGGGTTAACTTCCTGTGTGGAAGTGCACCCTGGGGGAAGAGTTTGATCTGGTTTAGGCCCATATCACCTCAAAGCCTTGGTACTATCAGTCTGATATATCAAATGAAGGGTACAATGAACTTGTTTTAAGTGGTTTTTGTGTAYTCCGCTGAAGTAAAATTTAGATGGATACTTAGCTTTATTAATTAAACATTCTTTTTGGTGTGGTTTTGTCTTCAAGAAGATGGAGATTAGCACCTAGTCAAGAAATTTCTAATTCTGCAATTATAGTTTAGATAATGTTCACATTTATTTTGCATTGGATTGCATTTCTGCATGAGTCATTGCTAATGTACTGCCATAGGCATTGTAAATCAGTACAGCATTTAGGATGGGAGYTCTTGTGCAAGGGGAATACTGTTCTATTTTCAAACAGATATCTTTTTTAAAAATTATTGTGGATCTTTTGAATGCAGCATGCATGGAAAGAGTAGGAAAATAGAATTTAATAACTCATACCACTGCTTTTCACTTTGGAAGTACGCAAGATCCAAATTGAAAACCTTCCTATAAAAAGCATGACTACCTGTTGGCAATTCTTCAGCAAAGGAGGTAATAGTTCAGAGAAGTGAGATTTTTTTTTTTTCTGGATAAACCTCAATAATGACTTTTGAATAATTTTTGTTTTCTCTAACACATATTCAGACAAACATATGTGTATGGGGCTACTAAATTAAAGTTTTGTCGTGGCAGCAATACTTAAGTAATAAATAAATGCAGCAAATATGTGTCCTGGTAGGTTTGGTGATGGACCTGAGYGGTGCCTTGGCTCAGRCATCGCCCACGAGCCGGCCGGGCTGATCCTGGCGAGAGCCATGCGAGGCCACATCTCCTCAGGGACCGAGGCTCCTGGGCCATGTCCTGTCAGCACGTAACAGCAGCAGCCCGAGCTGGGACCGGACAAAGCTGAAGCTGCCACAGCCGCACAGGTGCACAAGTGCCAGAGCGCTCTTTGGCTGCGGGTGCCTCGCTTTGTCCTCTGAGTACGTGTGGCCTCCCCGAGCCACTGAGCTCTGCTGCTCTCGGGCTGCCAGGCCCTGACCTCCCTGSGAGCTGGGACAGCTCTCTGGGTCACTCCTCAGGGCTGAGAGACCCTTTGCCAGCATCTGATCTCTACAGCGAGGTAAGGAGTGTTTTACTTCAGCCTGAAGGTRTGTTGTGTGCTAGTGACATTTATGTATATCCATCTATAGCTTAATTGTTATGAGTGTGTCAGAAATTACAGGGTTTAACAGCTGTCTGAATTATGAAGTCATCATGCAGGTCTTTGTCGAAWCTCTCATTAATTGCCCCAAAGTGATCACTTAATCACTATTTGATTACCATCTAATATCTAGAATTTCTGATTTCATAAATTGCTTATAATTTG